ATCCGGTGTGCACGAGGTTTTCCCCTTCCATCGGGGCAGGACAATGGGGCCCTACCTAAATATCGGGGGATCATGCTAAACGGCGGTAGATCAAAGGGACCGACAGAATCCAGTGGCGAGCTATCATAATAATTAGGCTCGCTCGCGCCTCTTTGTATCGGGATAGAAAAGCCGACGGGAAGGCCGAGAGACGAAGAAAAAGGGCCGAGGCATGGGACCGCCGCTCTTTGGTTAGCTTTGCTCAACCGACTCTCTTGCTCTCCCATTCACACTACCCGTTCGCTGAATCGCGGCCAGAAATACACTCGGCAAGATTTTATACCGATTCTCTTGGACCCCCAGATCCTTACCCATCTCTTTGCTCTTGCTACATTGTTTCCTGGGACCGTGATCGAGGTTCCATGTACGCGTATGATTGGAAAAGTAGGATTGCATGCTCATTTAAGTTGTCTTGCAGTTGAATACCTATAGGGACATATACACTACCGGCCAAAACTATGGGATCAGAATTGATGATTGATGGAACAGTAACTCATTACTCTGTTACGATATAATAAAAACTTAGGAGTACTTTTATCAAATCATTGTGGAATAATATTTTTCTATAGAGTAAGTATTTACTTTCCGTCAGACGTACATATTAGTCTGAAATGAATATTTTTTAGGGAGCATTAACCCTCAGAAGCCACACCCCACCCAATATACGTAAACACTATACTAGCACGAATTGGAGTTCTGAATTTTTGATGATTAAGAACTTGAAGAGAATAAAAGCCAATTGAACTCGTAACATATTTTTTAGGGTAAAATTTTTACAGAAATTCAATGGTAATAGTTGCAAAAGTGAGAAATAATTTTTTAACTATGAAAATTTATTATAAAGATATATATATACGCTGGTGTAAATTCCCACTAGTGTGGTGTCTGAGGGTTAAAGCTCGACGGATAATGCTTATGTTACTATGATGTAATAAAATTTGTCCTGAAATATATAATTTTTACGAAATATCAGATTTTCTTTATACAGACCAGGTGTCTTAATACTTACGAGCGGTAGTGGATGTATTTCAGGCTACATTGAGTGGAAGAGTAACATTATAGCTATACTAGGGGAACCTGAAGCGTTTCTGTGATTTTGGAGCGAGTTGGAGGCGTGGTTTTGATTCGATTAGTGGCAACGTCGTATACAAAAGAATCTAGGAGGTTCAGATCAAAGTGTTAGCGTCCATTTTTGATTTTGTCAGTGAAACGTAAAGTGTTCGAAAAACGTTGAATCATTACTTCTTTATTAAAATGTTACAACAGAAACATTATACGTAGCAGAAACGGATTAGATCATTTTGTAGCGATCGGTCTTATCCTATGTTGTAATACCAGAGACACCATTAAACTATAATAAACGTATCGGTATATGTTGAAAATGAATATGTGAATTCGTGGACATAAAGTGTTTCGCACACGACACGGCTCACAGTCTCTCCACCGCAAGAATCTCGAGTCCCGAGCTCGTATCTCGGTCGAAAATCCCGGGCATTACACGCAAAATATTGGCTGCGAACTCGTTCTTCCTTTTTCCGTTCGGTTCGACGGTTGTTCCTTCTGTCGTTTAACTTCATAGTCACGCGAGGCCTCCCGAGATAGAGGAGTGTCAGGCAGATGGGGCGCAAAAAATACCAGGGTCTCTTCCCCCCCGGTGGTAGTGAACTGTGAAGGAATAAAATGGGGAGGGGGGTGCAAAAGCAAGATACCCATTCCATCTTCGACGGCGCAAGAAGAGCACTCTCGGCCACCACCGCCGCCGTGCAATTTCTAACGACTCCCGCGATACCCACCGATGGTGTGGATATCTTTCGCGTGGTGTCTGAACATCGGCCGCTAGGTTGTCGACACTGATTGCTACAATTACATGGACTGAATCGATTCTCAGGAGTGACCCGCGCGGTAGAATAATGGGTCTGTATGTAATAGTCGCGATACACCTTTCTCTAGACCCCGTTCCGGACCAGCGACGCTCGAAACGACGGTCATTCGGACCGTGATTTTTCCGAACGATCGATGTCCTACACGGGACGAGCGAGAGAGAGGACGACGTTTCCAACCGATATCCGGAAACATGTTCATCGTGGGCACCGCACCGGTGGACTTCCGCTTGTACACGATCTTCGGAGATCAATCGCTGAAACGCGAGCAACCTACCGAAAAAAGAACCCAAGAGACCATGGCGAACTTTACGTTTCATGCCAGGGAAGCGACTTCCACTGGAAAGTGATCGTTACCGTTTATTGGAATCGGTTCCCTCGACTATCTTCGAACTGGTTGCGCTCCGTTCCTTTTCGATTCTCAGTGTTTCGCGGTTGATATTCAGGGATTACGACCAGCCATAATCGTATTTATGTTCCATAAAAATTCGATGAATGATGCAATAACCGAAGGGGATACATGTTCGAATGAAGACGCGCGCGTCTGTAAGAGGCGGGAGGAGGGGGGTCGTTACAAAGGTCGAGGATGGTTGTAAAAGTACGTGGACAATGGGCACATAGTATTGTACTTAAGTATTTTATACTAATAATACATTCACCTGTCGATAGACTGTACCTGCATATACTTATTTTATTCCTCTAATCTACATACATACTGTCTGTAATTGCCAACATGAATGTCTATTGATCAGAATTGCATAATCCTATGTTAACAGATGCTTTATTGTAAAAGTATATATTACTAAAGTTATGCAATTTCTAAAATATCTGAACAATTCACGTTCGAAAGTTTTACTTGAAAGAGGTTCGAAATTGCATCCAATAGCATAATAAATTTTCTACACCACGTACGGTGATTCATGTATTCGTTCACTTTCAAAACAACAATTAAGTACACAAGTTTTTATGTATTTTCTATTCATACATATTTATTATCTTTCCTCCAGTCACCATCTCGTGAAAAATTTTTCTTAATTCTGATAAAATTCACGTGTTGGTATATAATTCGATCAAATAAATGCTACAAAGCCTTTCACGAACAAATTTGCGAATCACTATATGTTTCTTCATATGTGTTCGAATCCTCTTTTTTTTCTCCAATCTATGAAATCGTAAATTAAGAAAGCTTTATTATACTTTCTTAAACTTTTTTACCTCATTACTATTCATTACTACATCATACATCAGAATCACTTAAAAAATTTCTGTCCACTTGATGGAGACGCTCGCCTACTACCTCCCCGTGGCATAGAACGATGAAAATCATCAAACGATTCGATCGAGTCAGCCGCATTGGTTCGATTACCAGAAACCCCGTGGATCGCGCGACGGCAACGGCGTCCAGTTTTTGCCAGGGCGGTCCGATAAGTCCCGGTGGAGCGGAACCTAGGAAATCGGCGACGGCCCGGGTGGGATGGAACCACGGCGGTGGGCCTCGTTAGGCGTTTTCGTCGTGGAGGGTCAAGTCCCACGTTCCGTAGGCCTCAGCACTGGGCACAGGAAGAGATTTCAGAGGCTGGAAACACGACGAAAGAGCGACGAGGAGAGGCCGCTGGTCGACGCGGGGGTATCGTGGCTGTGTGTGGAAAGGGAGGAAAGAAGGAAGAAGAAGGTCGAAGGCCGGGGTATATACGCGGTGAGGCAGGTTCGCGGTGCAGCGCCACAGGACGTTAAGTACGTCTCGTAAAAATTCCATCGGGGCAGCGTCATTTTGCCGTGTCGTAGGGCCACGTTTAAGTCCGTCGTGGGGCTAGATGGGGGCGTGGCCACGAGCGGTACCGCCCATATGCCAGACCCCGGGCTCGGTTAGGCCACGTCCCCCATCGCGGTAGAGGTGGCGCGACCGTGGGCTACCGCGTCCGTAGTAGAGGGGGGGTTTCAAAACGATCGAGCGCTCCCACCTACTGTTCGTATCGAGGCGGTCGTGAGAGAAGTGCCTGCCCCTGCGGGAACAAGAGCCGGGGCCGATACCGAGAGATCCCCGTCCCCGCGTACCATTTCGAGTCACTGGCTTGGACTGGGCTGATACCGAAGGCCCCACGAACTCCACCGTGTCGCTCGTTTACCATCGACGTTCCTATTGACGTTTCGTCCCGCGTATCGACCGCTTGTTTCGCATGCCCGACGCGTCGATCCCCAGCTGGCCTCGGGACCATCGGACCAAGTTCGAGCCTTGTGATCATCGCTCACGGGTGCTGTGACAGTGTGTACGCGCGCAAACTGGGTCGTAGAGCATTTTGTTCTTTACGCGAGTGCATCGACATATCAAGGTGTTGCCGTGAGATGAGAGTTCGTCACTGACTAACCGAAGGTGGTACCCACGTTGTTGTTCACGACAGACACGGGGGTTTACTATGATCGCTCGCGAAACACACGATTTGACAGTGCGGACAGTGGTTTGATCGAGGAGCTCGGAGAACAGTACGTCGTCTATGGTGATCCCTGTATCTCTCGTTCCGTTCGGTTGCTTTGCGGTACACCACGAGAGGATCCCGAGGATGACGAGCACGCAACCCTGGACGACGGGACCGTGGGAGGCTCTAGGTTTTTCCGTGATGTAACGAGAAACCGTCCGTCGAGACGATGACTAGTGGACGCTCAACGGGCAGTACGATGACGGTGCACCGTTGAACGGAAAAAACTGCATCGAAAAGTCGAGCGGCCGGTGTTATAGTGCCGGGACACACACAGTTCGCGAAACCCCGGGATGACTCGAGCGGTTCGAGGAGTATAGCTCCTCCGCGCGGTATCGGTAACAATTCTGGTGCTCGAGTTACATACTACGCTTTAAACGGTTTCAATGCCGTCGATAATCAGTGACGAGCTGAAAGCCGCGCGGGAGCACGCGGTCGTCGTGTGTTCGACGTGTGTACAGTGATCGAGAACTCTTGATTAGTATCGTGCGATGCAGGACAAAGATTGAAAAAGTGTTTCACGAAGTAATTGACACACTCCAAGTTCCTTTTGAAACCTAAAGAGAATCGAGACCGACCATAAGGCTGGAACGATCATCCTTCAGGAATGTGTACCACGGAGATGACGGAATCGTACACAATGTCCCCGTCAACGACGGTGTCTTCCAGCGCGACAACGCCTGGTTGCTTGGGCTCGCCTCCTCACCGACGGACGCCTTGCAGGGGTTCCCCGGGTCGTGGCGACGCTCAGGACGACGAGGACGAGATCTCCGTCGGTTGTCCTAGTCCTTTGCCACTGGTTGTGGTCACGCCCAGCGCCGAGGACGACGAGAGGCTGTCCCAGTCGAGGGAGGACTATGACAGACTCAGCCCTCGAAGAAGCTACCCCAGAGAGTCCGTGATCGACGACGAGGATAGCTACTCCAGGAGTGACTACAGGATGTCCAATGGTCGTAGCGTGCGTACTCACGAGAGCAGCGGCGGTGATTCCGTTACCACCCTCAGGGAGGACGAAGAGGACGACGAGGACGACGAGGAGCTGAACAGCAGGACCAGCAGTAACGGACCGTCTGCGGCCGGTGCCACGGACGATTACTTCAAGCCCCTGAAACGGCTGAAAATGGTGCCGATGCAACAATCCGACGAGGAAGACGATCGAGACCGGGGTGACACAAACGAGAGAGGCGTGAAGTCTTTCAGTATTCTGGACATCCTGTCCCATCGACCGAAGGCGAAAATCGTTCGTCCATGGGACACGGTCGAGTCTAACCTTAGTCACCATCATCGTCACCATCTCCAACAACAGCCCCATCATCAGCATCATCTGCACCATCATCATAATCATTCCGCCGCGCCCAGAGATTTGTCTCTGATGGGCATGTCGCTGACCTCTATGTCCGGGTCGATCAGCGAACCACCTCTGAGCAGCTCATCCTCGTCCGGAAGAAGCTCCGTTTCCGACTCTGGGAGTCCTGATCCCCTAGCCCATCATCACAGCCTGCATCACGGCTTGCATCCCGGTTTGCATCATCCTGCGTTGCAGCAACAACAGCAACAACAACAGTTCAAGAGAAAAACGTCGCAACAGCACGGTGGCCAGGGTGGACATCACGGAAAGAGGACGACGGGTCAAGGAAGTCCTCTGGACGCATTGTTCCAGATGACGAGCAAAACATTCGACGCTGGCGAACACAGTCAAGGTGAGCGTTTTGAAAATCATAGTATCGTGAAATTATTCCGTGTGCTCGGTTGTGGAGGTTATTATGAAAATGATTACAAGGGATCCGGTGACAATAGAGCAAAAATTTAGTGTGTAAATCGGATGGGAACTGTTTACGTGTCTCTTCTACCCGCGAGTCACGAAACAACGTGACACTAGAAAGTCACTTATGAAGTAATGTTTGGTAGAGGAACAGCTCATTGACACGTGCAGATTGAACTGAATAGGACCGAGAGTGAACGGTTTTTATCAATGGTCGGCCCTGCCTTTTGTATCGCTGGGGTGTATCCACGGCGTTGAATGCGGGTCTTAATTTTGATTGATGTTCCTAGCGGGCGTCGATGGACGCTGTCCAGAGTATGAATTTCATTTTATTGTTCTTCGTACGGCTTTTATTGAATTATCCTTGGAAACTTTTCGATTCGTTTCGTTTATAGAAGATTAATAACGAAGTAGAAATTATTCGAACTACGAGGTGTTTCATGGTCGTTGTAGGTACAATTTCTATTTAAGAGTCGGCCAGTTTGGACGTATAACGTAAACGGTTTGCCCTTTGATCCGTGCAGAAAGTAAGAAAAAAAAATATAATTATTAACGCTACTGTCATTGACGGGCACGCCTCCAGCAAGCAATTTCCTCCGTAAGTCTATGGTAATGTTCCTTTTGGAAAACAGTTCAACGATTTCCACGTCCATTGTACGGTCTGATGACGTGGAAATCTTCGTCTGTTGGTCATCCATCTGTGGTCATTGTTCGCGTAATACGTTGGTATTTACCTTGCTTAAAAAAGCGAATAATTAACGATAAAAAGTTCAGTAGGGTGTATTTATCGTGAATTTTGTTTCGAACAGATGTCACCCTGCAATTGATCCCTATTATTCTTATTATGTAATTACCTGGAGGAGAGCTGTTCTCGAGTTACATTTATTCGCATAAACCTGCCGGAAGACCTCTCTGACCCCGCAATCAAGGGAATTATTACCATATGCTTTGCAAATCAAGTGGACATTTCTTTCGTTTAGGTATTAAAAGCGAAGCACATTTTTTCTCTATATCGAGGTTACATTCCGACGATATTTATATGTTTTTCGTTCATCGATCTTTGGATATCGACTCCACACTTTCAGCAATTCGGTTAGAACGCTAAAAAATTCCTCGATCGAAATCTCAATACTAAAGTAATATAAACAGGTGATGAATGGTACCTACTCACCATGGCATCACTATAAAAACAGACCAAGTATGCCATGTCGGAAAGTTGCGAAATAATATTTCTCTAGAACTCGATAGATTCTATTCCCCAGAAAAAATAGTGTTTCCTTTTAGTTTAACCACGATACAGCATGGATTGAAATTTTTAAGGTGGTTTTTAATGTCACGCAGTGTATATCATCTTCAATCTTTTTTCCAACTTTCCGACAATTACCAATATTTACGAAACAACATTCCAGGATAAAGTTTACGGTATCAACTCAAAAGATAGTCGTCGTTCCAGAACTCAGGAACAAGTTACGGAACGGTTATAGAAAGCACTCGTGGTTCGATACCGATCGATATTTGCCTACGGTGTTCGCCATCGAAGACAGTCGGTTCTTGCGGTGACGGAATGCTTCGAGGGGAAGGGCGGCTTCGGTTACGATATTCAAGAGGCAAGAAACGGCTGGTAGCGTAGTCGCACGTTCCAAGTGCCTGCTTTCCAGAAGCACGCTTCCACGAACGCTACTAATATTAGTAGCCGCGTGGCTGTTACGAGGTACACCGTAATTGAACGAGGATGACATTTTACTTTTTATCTCTTTCTCTTTCTCTGTTAACCGATCCCACTGGCGCGGTATTTCATCGTTCTCGGTGTCTCGGCTCTCTTTCCGAGTTCGTTCTAACCGCTCCGATCCTCGGATACGGAAGTATCGATCTCGCGGCGAGATTGCTAGAGGCGATTGATGGGGCACGAGGGACTACGCGCGACAAGCTTAATGGAATACACACATAGTACCCAGGCCATTGACGGGAACATCGATCGCGACGTTTACCCGTTGTTTCCCCATTCAATGGAAACACGACCGACGATTTATGTATCATCGCGAATAGTTAGCGTCGCTGCTTGTTCGCAGGTACTAGGATATTAAAGGTTCGTTGCTCGTGTACTAGTGGTGGGTGACACAGTATCGATATTTCGAATGACGATACTTTTCTGTGTCCGAAAATTATCGGACAATAGTCGACGACAGGGGAAAGGGAGGGGGGATCGATGGGGAGCAAACCCGATTCCACCGATCCCGCGTTCCCTTTCGAAATTGCCGGTTATAAAAGTCTTCGTCTATTCGGTTAATTACCCAGTATCTTTTATTGAGACGGTCCGTGTCCTAATGGAATTATAATTTTGCGTCGAGACGTGTAATAAAACGAAAAATCTCTTCGGGAAGCATGGCCGGTGAGGGTGTAAAAGAAAGGCTCGAGAGACCAAGAAGCCCCCCCCCCTTTCTTTTTCGGGGGGAAAGATAACTCTAAAAAATTGGATTTACCGATTGGATATTCCTATTAGAATGAACGTGTAAATACAGAGACGGTATCCCCGATCTCGTCGCCCCAGCCCCCCCCCATCTTTCTCCTGTTTCTTTAATCCAATTACCTGGAGCAGTAAAAACCCCCGGGGTCGAGGGTGGAACGGTAGACAGGGGCACGGACCACACAAACAGCGAGACAGAGAGCGCCCCCTTTTTTTCCCCGTTGTGGTTCCTCCGCGTCTAGAGGAGCGACCATAAAACCCAGTTTTCCGTAACATTCCCGGGGCCTCACGAAAAAGGAAAAGGTCGTAGAATCGAACTTCTGCGCTCGTCGTTCGACAGGGGGATTAAGATCGGCGAAAAAGAGACGCGTATACAGGGGTACCCCGCAATAATCATCGTAAAATTAAGGGGTTTATGAAACGAGAATTGCGGAAGGGCACTCCGGTGGCCGGTCTAAGGGTCCTTTTCCAACGGCACCATCCTCGTGATGGTCCATTGTTTACCACGGGTTCAGGCAAATTGTTTTACAACCAGCCCTCCCTCTCTGACTGTGTTTGTTCGAGAAAAAGGGAAACGATTCTTTTCCATAGTGCCGACGTAAACATCGGGCCTTGTGTGCCTTCGTATACAATAATAGGATGCTATAAAAGTATTACACGAACCTCGCCTTTGTATGATCTATACTCAGTTTCGATTCTTACTGTACATCCATATCGCACCCCCGCGAGGCAAGTGTCGATAGCCAAGAATTGTAAATTTTCATTCGAACGCATAAAATATCTCCCGATACGTAGTTCCACCGTTAAAAAATGTCATTATGTATGTACTGTGCATCTCGCGAGCTGGGCCAGACGCGCGTGGGTCCTCACGAACGCGCCATTCGAACGAAACAGAAACGAACCGTCGTCCGTCGATCGAGTTCGCGCGTGTGCGTGCGTGCTCGTGTCTCTGAGGGCCCCTCGGTAGGTAGGTACATAATTTTGGGCCCACCTATACAAACTGGAGACTACTGGCACGAGTAATTTATTATGTGGCGCGGCGAGAGCGCATATGTCTCATTTGCATATAGCGTGATACAGAAAACGCGAGGCAGGATTTCCGACAGCGGCCACGGTGGCCAATATGCGAAACATTTCGACAAAAGCGGACAACCATCGTCCTTGCCGGTTTTTTTCACGTCGGGGCCCCCTCGGCCGACCCCTCGAGTGACGAGGGACCGATAACCCGAAGGGAAAACTGGAATGATTACGGACAACGACGACGTCGCGCTGTGTCCACCGATCTTAAGGGGTGAAGGGGGGTGGAGGCTATTTCTATGGATTGGTAATTAGTCTTTGACATCGGCCGCCGGTGATTTGTCGCGGTTGACTGGCACGGGATGGGTTTATTAACACTTAGCCGGGTCGCGTGTTTCACGCAGAAATCGCCGGGGCTCTGCTTTGGCCGCGCGCTGTTTCTTACGGACGCACTTCTCGCGAAACTTGTATGTGTGTATGTTCTGAAAGTGACAAATAAGAAGAACCGGTAGAAAGTGTAGTCATCGACTAGGTTCGCCATGTCTGCTATAAGCATTCCATGAGTAAATCTGTGAGTCACTGTAATTTTAGGTGACACATAACTGTTTGATTGAAAGATGAGGTAGGAAACGCAGAATTAATATGTTGTGCAACGTGCGTTAAATTTTTACTTTTCGATGGAAAGTAGGGTTATTCGGTTAAGAGGGCTCCAATGTCGATGCGTGCCCATATTAGAGATACAACTGAAACTTTTCATTCTGACATGGACAAGGACCTGAAAAATACAGGAAAAGTAATATCGAAACATTAACTACGCGCGTACGATTTCTTCCGAAGATACTGATTTTTGCAATTTCATAATCGCTCCGAAGTTCGACCGTTCGACGGTACTTAAGGTTTTACCCTCTCGTTCGAGTTACGAAGGAGCGTAGAGAAAGGCGGGAAACCAGAAGGGGGAACGCGAGCCTCGGGCAGCGTGGCATAAAACCCGGTGCGCCTTCGCTTTACGCAATTTATGATACGTTCTTTAAAAGGGCTAACATCAGGCAAAGGAGGCGGCGGCTTATGGAAACATTATAAAGTTCCCGATTGGCCGCACGCGTATTGAAAATTGCCCGATATCAAGTGAAATCCATTTCAAGCACTCGGGCATTTACATTTACATCGATGCTCGACAGTCGATCGAACGTTTTTCGTCCTTCGGTGAGAATTCAAAATGTTTACTGCTTCGAGAAAAAAACACTAGATCTTTAATGGACATATTAAAAATAGTAGATAAGAAAAATTCATTCTTTTTCTATCTTTCTCAGTGTTCTGCATTTTTATTCGTCTCAAACTAGAGAACATAAATACATTAATAATACAGTAGAAGAAAGTATACAAACATAACAATAGTTTACATAATGTATAAATTTAAACTTACATTCTAGGTTATGTTTACATGGATCTCGATGTTA